ATCATCATCATCATCATCATCATCATCATCATCATCATCATCATCATCATCATCATCATCATCATCATCATCAGCAGCATCATCAGCATCAGCATCAGCATCAGCATCATCATCATCATCATCATCATCATCAGCATCATCATCATCATCACCATCAGCATCATCATCATCAGCAGCAGCAGCATCATCATCCTCGTCTGCCTCGTCGTATTATTAAGTTGTCATGCTATTATGGTTAGTCTTGGTATTCTTAGTATTATTATCATTCGTTTTAGCAGTAGTGCTGGCATTATTAGCATTGTTGTTAGTCGTAGTAGTATTAGTGTTAGGCTTAGTCTTATCCCGATTAGTGTTATTTATACTCATAACATTAGTAATAGCATTAATAATAGTACTACTGCTACTTCACTGTTCGTATCTCTGCAATTACTAATGCTAGTAAGTGTTAGTAGTAGTACCATTCCTCCACCTCTCCCTCTTCCTCCTCCTCCTCCTCCTCCTCGTCCTCCGCCTCCTCCTCCTCCTGATCATCATCATCATCATCATCATCATCATCATCATCATCATCATCATCATCATCATCATCATCATCATCATCAGCATCATCATCATCAGCATCATCAGCATCAGCATCAGCATCAGCATCACATCAGCAATCATCTTTAGCAGGCAGCAGCAGCATCATCATAATCAGCATCATTCATCATCATCATCATCATCATCATCATCATCATCATCTCAGCATCGTCATCATCATCATCATCATCATCATCATCAGCATCAGCATCATCAGCATCATCATCATCATCATCATCATCATCATCATCATCATCATCATCATCATCATCATCATCATCATCATCATCATCATCAGCAGCAGCAGCAGCATCAGCATCATCATCACCAGCATCATCATCAGCATCATCAGCATCATCATCATCACCATCAACATCATCATCAGCATCAGCATCATCCTCCTCATCATCATCATCATCATCAGCATCATCATCATCATCATCTTCATCAGCATCATCGTCATCATCGTCATCATCATCAGCAGCATCATCATCATCATCTTCAGCATCATCATCATCACCACCACCACTATCATCATCATCAACATCATCATCATCAGCAGCAGCAGCATCATCATCATGATCATCATCAGCATCCCAGATGCCATCCGCGTCGTTGAAAACGTGACGCAAGGTGTTTGGAATATTTTTGGCCTCAGGGGGCCCGTCGGGGGCCGCCCTGGGCCCCGAAATGTTTGTAAGAATCGATGCCGGCCAGGAAAGGGCAGTGGAACCAGCACGGTCTGAAGTATCTGTGGGGTAGCAGTCGCATCGGCACTGAAGGTGGGGGACGTGCCATGCCACTCGGAAAGGCGACTAAGCAAGGTATCCGAACGGCGCGCTGTCACGTCCCAAAAGAGAAGAGGAGGAGCCACATACCTCGCATGCAAACGCTTCCTGGGGACACGCTACGGCGAAGAAGAAGACTAAAAGGGATGCCACGGGTGTCCAGCGCTCAACTGTGAGCGAATCAGAGCGCAGTGCCCAACGCTCAGGTGGCAGCGACCAGACGATGCGGCAGATACAGCCAGCAGGTCCCAGTGGGCCTTTGGACAATGAAGCTCAGATTCCGAGCCACTGACAGCACTTGCCTAAACCTTGACCCAAACATACGGCTGCTCCAGAGGCAATGTGGACTTATCAAGGCGTCTTGAGCACAACAATATCGTGATACTTGCCGGGACCTTGAACACATGTCCAGGACGTCTATCCTGGGTGCAGCCTTCACGATGTGGAGTCTGCCCTTAGGTAATTTCCTACGTGGTAGACCTCCGAACTTGCAGCCGCCCGCTTGGACTGAAACCCTCGAGATGGACCAGTGCTGCGAGCGCTGTGGCGCAGTGCAGGCGCCACAGCGCTCGCAGCACCAGTCCTCCTCCTACCCCTCCTCTTCCTCATCCTTCTCCTCCTCCTCCTTCTCCTTCTCCTCCTCCTCCTTCTCCTCCTCCTCCTACTTACAAAGGAAAGTCGCGGTCCTGGAGATCACGTGGCCAGCGGCGTGGAAGGGAATGGGGGAAGTAGGAGAATGACGGCGAATGGCCAGGTAGAAGGGTCATACGTTTGCCTTTTAGCCTCTGGATATCAGAGCAGAAGCAGTTCAGTTCAACTCAGCACGGTCTACAAGCAGTGCAGGCTGCTGGCATGCCGTATATGAGCGGTCCAAAGGCCAACATCACTCCATGTAACAGAGCTCATCGTGTAACTGGTTCGGAAGAGAGTGCCAAATCGGTGCACATCGCAATCACCAGGTGTACACGTCGTCATGCGAGGCTTGCCTCTGCGACCGAGAGGTCGGATTCTCCGTGCTTTCTCGTGCGAAAGATCTTCTTAAGGAAGTCGAAGCGAGGTGTCCCGACATCTTTACTACTATCACCATCATGGTGCTCGAGAAGGGAAACTTGGTGAAGGCATGCCTCCGTAGCCATCGCCGCCTCCTTGTGGTCATCTTCTCCTAACAGGCCTCCGACTGCAAAACCAGTACGCCCAAGGTGCTTAACGTAGAAGTTCAAATACTGAGTATCCTGTTGTGTGCGCCCACGAACAACTTTCAACTCGACCTTCCCGAATTTGATCCATGCTGACTTCTCGTCGATCAAGCCCTGAGCTTGGAAACGGAGACCACCAGTGTACTTCGTCTCCACCCACACCCCAGTGAGATTCAGCTCTTGGAAGTCCGCCATTGCGCCTCCAAGCGCGTGACGGTGTGTCGGGTTTTCTCTGCTCCCCCCATCTGCTTCCTGTGAGAAACTGGACCAGGCCCTCCAACCTAAACCCTTTGGGGTAAGAAGTGGGCCGATACGACGCCCTGAATCGAAAAACAAATCAGATCGCGAGGGTGAAGTTGTACGTCCGCCTCCTTCCATCAGACTTCCGCCGCACTCCCCCGAGGACGAGAGCTAACCTGCTCGACCCCTCGAACGCGAAGCTCTTTGGCTGGCGCCCTGCTTGTGCTGAGGACGCCTCCTGCGTCTGCACCTCCAACGAAACACGCTTCCTCTCCGCGTCTCTGGCGGGGGCACTCCGGCGACCCAGCGCCCCGCGACAAAACGACGCGAAGATCGGGACAAAATCGGATCGGGATAACTCGAAATCTCTGAGAATCGGCGGGTTTGGAGGATGTGTTGGGCGCCGCGGCCGCTGCAGAGCGTTCCGGAACGCTCTGAGAGCGCTCCGGAACGCTCTGGAGCGATTTATCCCGATCCTAGCCCTGCTTTACGCGGGGGCCCAGCAGTGAGCCCCCGAAACGGCCGTGTCAGGAAGGCTCCGCAGACGGCGACCGGCTCCCCTCAGAACGACTCCGAGACGCCCACGGATCGGTCCGAGGGGGGGGCGCGTGGCGGCGCGAGGCCGCTGGCCGACCCTCCAGGTGAGAGCGAGAACCCCCTCCTCGAAGACGGCTCCAAGAGGCCAGCCGCGCCCCGACAGCCCCGAGGCTCCCCCCCCCCCCCGAGGGGCCACCAAGAGGACCCCAAGAGGACACGCGCGCCCCGACAGCCCCGAGACTCCATCCCCCCCCCCAGAGGGGCCACCAAACCAAAAGGACCCCAAGAGGGTTCGCGACAGCCTGGCAACGCGCCACACCGCTGCCGCGGAGCTCCCCCCACGTAGGCAGAGCTGCCCAGACGAAGCGAGCGTCTCGCGGTGGTAGACGCCGTTTCATGATGTCACTTCAACCCCCTCACTCTTTACAGAAAGGAGTACCGAGCGGAGATGCCCTCCTCATCCTCCTCCCCGTGAACCTTCCCGCCCCCTGCAAAACTCCATGTCCTATCCCCTCTCTCCCTCTGCCTCAGCGCCGCACGCACTCGTCTCGAACCTTTGCAGCAGCTTCAAAGATGGAAAGGGCCATCCTCAGAATATGGCTATCGCCTTTGCGCCGCCCACACTCGTCCTGACAGTATGCGATAACTTCAAGGATGGAAAGGGGACGGTTTTCAAAATCTGGCCCTCGCTGCGGCGACACGCAGGTTCGTCTCAAAGTACGAACCAGCATCAAGTATCTGGCCATCGCTCGGACGTCCATTCCCTGTGTTTTTTCCGGTTTCGTGCGTGGTTTTTTCGCCAAATGGTCGAGGATGCTCCTCGAAGGTCCTCGCCGAAAGGAGAAATGCACACGTCCGAGCGATGCCGAGGTATCAAGAGCAGCTCATTTTCAAAATGCGGCTCTCGCCAGTTTGCAACAGCTTCAGGGATGGAGGGAGGATCTTTTTTTGCCTCGCACGGAACCCACTGGTGCCACAGCGGCACTGCGAACTCACGGCTTGCCAGGCAATTCGGGAACACCGCGCAAGCCGACCTGCAATAGGCAAACTCATGCTGTGAACCCTGGCCTTAACCAACTACTCGACGATGCAGCAGCGAGAGGAAGAGGAGGGGGAGGAGAAGCGAGAAAAGGCAGCCGTGTCGCGCGGGCAACCCCGATGGCATAGATCGCACGCATAGGTGGGCCACCGCCCTGCGCGAATGCAGTCTGGCGAACCCGTCCGCCCCCAGCTCCTGGAAGGCCCCGTCCTGGAATTTAGCGACCTTGTCCAAGAACCTGCGTCGCAGCACGATGCCAACTCCTGCGCCTCCGGCCGAAAGTAGGACCCATGGCCGACACGGTCCAATAGCAGAACAAACACAGTATCCTCACCTTTGACGCAGTGCGCCTCAACGAGGACGCCCAGATCACGCGAGGCCATCAGCTCGAACATCTGGCTGCACATGGCCGTCTGGCGGGAGGCCCTGACTGCCATGAGCCCTTCGCAAGTCCACAAACAGCTTGTGCAATCGCCAATGCAGGGCCTGGCGCGAGCGGACGCGGCGAGGCGGGCAGGGAGAGGAGCGGGCGGCGAGGGAGGCCGGAGGTCGGAGGTGTGAGCCGTCGGAGGCTGGGCGTCGATGGGCGGAGGCGAAAAATTGGGAAAGCTGATGCTGGAGGCGGGAGGCGGACAGGTCGAGGCGGTGGGCGTCGGGGGTCGAGAGGTGGAAGTGGAGAAGAATAGTGAAGGGGCCCACAAACACACAAACAAATACACACAAATAAAAAGATTCCCCATATTTTCCTATATTTTCTGGGTTTTTGTCTTCCCCCCCACTTCCCATATTTTCCCATATTTTCTGGGGAATCGACGATCAATTGTGTCTGTGTGTTTCTTTCCCTCCTGAAATAGGGAGGCTGGAAGTCGGAGTGCTGGGCTGGCGGGGGCCGGACGTCAACGCGTGGAGGTGGGCGTGGAAAGTCGGGCGCTGGAGTCTGGAGGTCGGAGCGTCGAGCAAGTGAACAGCAGGCGTCGATAGTCAGAAATGGACACGCGAGGTCGATGCTGAAGGCTGGAAGTCGGAGTGCCGAGCTGGCGGGTGCTGGAGGTCGATCGGTGGAAAGTCGAGACTGGATACGTCGGGGGTCGACAGGTGGACGTGGATTTGGGAAGTCGCACGCTGGTCGCCGGAGGTCGGAGTGCGGACCTAACGCAGGCCGGCGGTCGACGGGCGCGGGCGGGGGCGAACGTGGAAAGTCGGGCGGTGGAAGCTGGAGGAGGCCCGGGTCTCCCACCCGGATATAGCGCGACACGCCGGCGCCCCCCGCGCGCGACACGCTGGCATCCCCCCCAGCAATGTCTCGGCCAAACGTTGGTCCTCCGTCTAGATACCGCTTGGGAGTTCTGGGCTAGGGGCGCGCGCGAGGTCGGTGAAGCCCTCCTCCTCGCCCTGGCCCCCCTCGTCTTCCTCTTGCAAGTCCATGGGCGGAGGCTGAAGTGGAGGTGGGCGCAGAAAGTCGGGCGCCGGGGGCCGGAGGCCACAGCGCTCAGCAGCCGGGGGATGGAGGCGCTGCGCGCGCTGGAGGGTGGAAGTCGGGGCGCTGCGCTGGCGAGCGCTGGAGGCTGGAGGTCGGAGTGTCGGGCGGGTGGAGGCTGGAGCACGGTAGGCGGAGGGGGGAATGCGGAATGTGATGCTGCGTGCTAGGGGTAGGAAGGTTGGGCCGGAGTCGAGCACGCGCCAGGCGGGCCCATGGCTGGGGGCGTGGCAGCGAGAGCCCGCTGATTCTGGCCGGTGTTGCTGCTCTGTCGGCGCTTGTTCGCCGGGGCGTCGTCAGTCGTCGATTGCCGGCAGGAGTGTTTGCATCAAACGTTTCTGTCGCCACCGGCGTCGAATGGCACTCCGCGGCTGCGGGCAGCGGGATGCGCGAGGGGGTCGGGGGCAGAAGCTGGAGCTCGAAACTATGGGCGATTGCGTCTTGCGCGTTTCGCTGCGCCCATTGCGAAGGGGAGCGTTTGGCGCGGCGGCAACGAGGGGTGAGCTCGGAGAACCGAAATGAATAGAAGATGCGGGAGACGCGCATTGAATCCCACCCGACGCCGCGATAGTCAAGACACGGCATTGCCCGGGTCGCCGCTCAAACAATCCCAGAGGATCACGCAATTGAAATGCATGTTGATTGACGTGTCGTGGCCCTGGATGCGGACGCCCTTCTGTTGCACGGCCTGGTGTATCTTCAGCAACTCTAGCTTAAACTGGCATTGTATCAGCACCGTGCCCGTCCAAACCACGTCGAAATTGTCGATGGCTTGCCTCGTGCTGAACTCCATTGGCCCCATGCCTCCCGGGGTGGCCTGCCGCGTGGGGGGCACCGCGCTCTGCGGGCTAATATGGCTCATGAGGCCGTGCAACCACACGTCCAGGTGGGCCTCGACTGGTACCGGCATGTCCAGGGTCGATCGCAAGATCTCCGGCTTGTTCACGTTGGTGTCCGCTTCGTGATGCCCCTGTCTAGACTTAGCGGCTGCGACCTGCTCCTTAGTGTCCTATAGCTCCGCGAACTTCTTTAGATTGGCAGGCTCGGAGCTACGGAGCTGGAGCTTGATGGCCGCTTTGGTGGGGTCCTGCTTCCATATACGCGTCACGTTCTCGCTCCATTCTCAGGCGGCGTGGCTCGTTTCTACGACCGCGACCCTCGGAGATACAATTATGCAGCTTTTGTATAGAAACCCCGAAACGAAGCACGCCGCAGGCGAAGCAAAATCAAGCATCTTGGCACCCTGCCGGGCGATGGTGAATGGTAGACCCATGACGGCCCTGTATCCAGTGAGGGTTTTCCTGAGCCAGCTCGTGCATCAGAACGCCGCCCATGTGCTCGTCAGAGTGTATCTTGATGTTGGACCAGTGCTCCTCGGCCTGGCTGCCCAAGCTGGGCCGGGGGCGCGGGGGCGGTTTGTGGCGAACCTCCCAAGTAGACGAAGATCGTCGATATGGCCGTAGACTTACCAACGTTACACATGCGGCACATCGCTCC